GGGGCGGGTGTGGCGCGCTGCCGCAGCGATAATCACAAATTAAGTCTTATTGTACCCACAGACTCAATTCTATTAGCATGACAAAGCTGCTGTGAAATGGACACGGTTGGTTTGGGGAGCAGTGGCGGCTGGGGGCCTTTTTGGGAGGGGGGGTTGGGAATGGGATTTACGAGGGCCGACGTCAGCCCCTGGCGCGCGGCTTTTGTGTGCTCGCTGCCTCGGCCGCTGGAGGGGAGTCGGGAGTGGAACGACGGCTCGTCAGCCAACAGGGGGCGCCGCCACTGGGCCAGTAACACTGGGGACTGGGTCTCTGACAGCAAGGTTCAGGACGCCGGCTAACTGACCGCTTTCCCTTCACCAGGAATTATTTTATTTCTTTGCCTATTTACACTTATATTTAGAGCTGAATGTAATGTATAGTTGTAGCGATTTATTCTGTCTGTAATTTTTGAGGGAACTACAACAGCCCCTCCTCCCTGGGACTTAGTTATCAAGTTTGTAGATCTTCAGTTTTCAGGGTCTTTGTCTTTCACCAGCCCTCTACCAGCTGCTGGGTGGCGTCTTCTAATCAGTGTCATAAAGCCCCCCACCCCCACACTCACACAATCACTTTGCACTCATTAAGTCCCTCACAGGATTTTGCTGAGTTGATTGACGCATAAAAGTCACTCAGGATCAAATAAGAAGATTATGGAGAATATCTGCCTTTGAGTGTCTTTCTCCGTCGGCTTGCCATTGGAGGGCCCAGGAAGGCATCCGGCTGGGCCTGCAGGACATGCTGTTTGTCCTACAGCTAATGAGTTGGATCTGAGCATAATACCCAGGTTTCCATAAGATGTTTCCATTATGTGGCAGAATCCCATAATACCACATGTATTAGCAGAGAGCTTCAGGCGTTGCGTTTTCAAGCCGTGGCATGTTATGAGAGCGTAGGCCTCTCTGCAGTTTGTGAAGATGAGTTTCAGTAATTGTCTCGCAGCATATTCTTTTTCTCTCTCATTGCGTGCAAAAAGCTCCTAAGCAGTTGAGCGCAGGGTGGGCAAGGGCGGGGCCCTCGGTCACACGGGTGTCTGTTCGCTTTCCTGTCCTAAAACTTGCCACCCTCTCTGTGTGGGACAGATTTGGCACTCGCTGGCACGATGCAGGGTCAGCTGAAGCAGGGATTTCTCTGTCCCCCCACCCCGCAGGGAGGAAGGCCCATAAGAAACACAGGGGCAGGAACCAGACTGATACGTTGGGAGCAGCCTAACAACACGTCAGCTGTTGTGATTGACTTTCTACAAAAGCAGAGTCTGAAATTAGCACTCATGTGGATTCTCTTCACAGTAATGGTCCCATGTGTCCAGTAGTGATTCACGGTCCTTTTTGGATCTTTTTGTTCCAGCAGCCGTGGTTTCATGGTTTTTCGCCAAATGAATAATGATTTTTTTTGTATTGGGGTGAAGTGTGTAAGAGCGCCCCCCCCCACCCCGGCAGCAGTGTGATGTATACAAGTTGTGCTTGGGGAGCTTCCTCGTGGGACCAGGCTGTGAGCTCACAGACCTCATCAGTAGCTGACCTCACAGGGGCCTCTCCCTATCTCACTGACACCCACCTCTCTTTTTCAGATATATTCACCTGACCACACAAGCAGCAGCTTTCCTTCCAATCCCTCCACACCTGTGGGCTCGCCATCGCCCCTCGCTGGCACAGCCGGAACAGCAGGTACAGTGAAAACACACTCATTGGGACACCCTTGTTACGCAGAGCACTCATCGCCCTACAGTCAGCAGTGTATATGGTCACCACCCTACTCAGTCATCAGTCCATGCGGTCATTGCCGTTACATTTATGACTCCACACAGTCATCACTCATCACGGTCATTGCTCCATATAGTCACCAGTCGTCTCTCCATATGGTCATCAATCTGTGTGGTCATCACTACGTGCAATCATCACACAGTCATCATTCCAGGCAGTCATCTATCCACACATAGTCATCATCTTACACAATTTTCACACTAATCACAGCTATCACTGCACAACACGCTCATCACTAACTACATATAGATTATAGGAACTATTGCTCGGTCAGCCTTCAGATCTGTGTCTATAGTATAGATTCAGTTTTTTTAACATTATTATTATTGAGAAATGCTGGTGAGCTTTCAGGTGAGGGCATCATTTTCCTGGGGCTCTGTTTACCTGCTAATGCTGTATCTTAACATAAATCACAGGGCCCTGGGCCCTTGCCCCCCCCCTTTGCTGCTTGGCCAGCTGCTGCACATTTGTCACCAGCAAACCTGCTCCCCCGACGTGCCCAAACACCACGCCGCGGGACGGGGTTGCGGCAGCGGGAATGCCGAACGCAAGGGAAAAAATGGCCAGTGAGCAGTTGTGTTGAGCCCGTGCTTGATGTGGGGGGGCAGCTGTCGCCAAGTGCGGGGCTCTGTCTTCAGCTGTTGCCCCCATGGAGCCACGGTGGGGGGCTGGGCGCCGGGAGTAGGCTCTGTTGTCGCCTCTCGCCTGACTTTTTTCACCCGTGGCTGAGTGCCAGATGTGATCATGTGATCACTTGTGTCGACTGGATCCTCCTCTCAGTCCCCACATCCTACTGTGACGCCGCCCCAGGGGCTGAGCCTGCCAGCCGTTCCTAGGAGAACCTGGTCGTCCCTGTGTACTGGGCCACGGATCTGCTGGCCCAAGGATGGTCCATTTAATTAGTTGTTATGGTGCTAAAATTTAAGCAGCTAGGAACCCTGCTGTATCAGACCTCTAGGATACGACGTGTATCTATACCTGTTGTTCTGCTGGCTACCTGACCTAAGGGTACCAAGCACCAACCTTCATGTGGTACCTAGGTTCAGTGCATTTGTGTAGTGCCTATGCTCGGTGCGTGTGCGAGGTGCCTATGCTCGGTGCGTGTGCGAGGTGCCTATGCTCGGTGCGTGTGCGAGGTGCCTATGCTTGGTGTGTGTGCGAGGTGCCTGTGCGCAGTCCTTGTGCTTGGTGCTCGGTGCCTGTGCATGGTGACCACCTCTTTTCTCCCCACCAGACGTCCCCTAAAACAGCGAATATCCAGTCTGAATGGAATATGTGCCTCTCTGCCAAAAAAAATGGCTAAATGGAGCATAGTCTGACCACTGTCACAGCAACTACATATGGGCTAAAGTATAACTATTAAAAATAAAATGAAAGATGTCTGCATACCTAGCTGAGTGCACGCTAAAGGCTGGTTGAGTCACCACAAAAAATTGTTTTCCATTTAGCCGTTTTTTTCCCGATAATAATTAAAACTTGAAATATTTGCTTGGTTGTGTTATCCTTTGATCCTCTGTTTGTTTTTGAAGTATTAAATTAAAAGAGAGCTGTATTTATGGGACTGTGCGGATTTTGGCACGATATTCAGATTAACCTTAAGTACATCCATCTGTTCATTAGGGCCCGGCCCTTAATACACTCATAATTACTCATTTCCATCGGTGGTGTGGTTAGGACGGTCCCCGTTTCAAGTTGGTCCGAGAAATCCAGACTGATTTTTCAAGCCCTAGCGCAGTCAGGCTGTAGGTATTAAAGCCCCCCCACCGTTCACGCGAGGGCTGAGGGCAGTCCGTACTCTGCTAAGCTACCCCCCCCCCCCCCACATCTCCCATCCACAAGCTATTTTTAATGGCCTTTTAATTAAAGGCCGTTTCTTTTTCCCCTTACGGTTTCTTGCGTCGTATAAAAGTTTCTCAGATGTGGCCTGTGCTCTGATGCTGGGTTGGGGCCGCCCCCCCCCACCCCCTCGTCAGAGAGGGGGAGCTAAAAAGCTCCGATGAACAGGTCCGCCTGGTTTTCTGGAGGAGATGGAGGACAGGAGGCCCATAGACATGAACTTTGTGTGAAACAACCAGCTGCCACTGAGGCCTGACGTGCTTGCATGTCCAGCGTGAGGCGCTAATGAGCGTGAGGCCCACCTCTCACATCCGGCGCATCAGCCCGGCCGCGCTTATGGCCCCTGTGCCATGCCGTTTCCGTTTGGCCCTCTGCGCTCTTCCCAGGCAGAGCTTCCCGAAGAGCCCTGGCAGGCAGAATGGGACCGCCCCCCCCTCCCGCGACTCCCCCAGCCCCGCTCACATTGTTCTGCCTGGCCCCGTCGTCGTTAGCTCATTAACGAGCGGATGCATCGCATGTCCTGCTCGGCTGCGGATGGAGCCGGTGGGAGCGGTCCACCCACTCGCTTGGCGGGACGTGGGCCAGCCGTAGGAAGCAGGGGGTTGGGGGGGGGCACACAAAGAGTCACCGGGCTGGACAGGATGCAGGAAATAAACAGTGAAGTTTGGAGCCCCAAGGTGCGGCGTGTTGATAGCAGCTGTCCGGCTGGCCGGCTGCTTCGGCTGCTTCGGCTGCCCCCCCCTTCTCCTCTACCGTCGTTGTCGGGGCATCATGTGCTAACAGCAGCCACTCTCCCTGCAGGATCCAGCCAGTGGCCCCGAGCTGCTGGCCAGACCCCCCCATCCCCTGGCTACGAGAGCTCCCTGCACTCCCTGGTAAGGCTCCGTCATCCCGTCCCCCCGCCGCCCTGAATTCCCGAGCACTTTTTAATGAACAGGCACAAAGCCGATTGGGTTAGCAGAGGGCAGCGATGGGGGAGTCACACGCAAGGGGGGGTACCATTACACAGACGAACAATACCTGTCCCCCTGGGTGTGTCACCCGCCATCTGTTCCCCGGTCCCCCTGGCCGGCTGCAGACAGCTGTGTCTCTCCCCACCACCCCAGCCCTGCCGCGGCTCCAGAATTCCTGGGATGACTTGGGAACAGAAACTCTAACACGGGAGATTACCAAGCCCCCTTCGCTGTGCATTCCCACCATGTCGCGCTGCGATGAATATCTGCATGCAGTATCTGTCTGCCAGTCCTCATTTAATTTTTATTTAGTGGCCCCCCCCCCCCTCCCACACCCAAACACGCACCCCCGTGGATGATCCCGGCAGCGGAGAGGGCAGTAGGATCCCGCAGTGTCCTGAACGTCTTCTTACTCTCTCCTGTTCTCTGTGTCGACTCCGGCAGAAAAACCGAGTCCATCAGCAGCTCCATGAGCATCTGCAGGATGCCATGTCTTTCTTAAAGGATGTTTGCGAGGTACCGCTTCACCCATCACGCGTGTGACGCCCCTCCACCCCGTCTCGACCCCCCCTGTTCACCACACCCGGCCCCCGTCCGATCACCTCGCCGACGCCGCGCATCACAGAGATGTCTGCCTGTCTGTCTGGTGCCATTTCAGCTGCCTTGTAACGATCCCCCTCAGTGTCAGGATGCTGTCTCCTCTCAGACACTCAGATTCCCCCCCCCCGAATTAAATAGCTCAGTCGTCGTCGTTTTCCCCACTCACCGTGTTTTTTGTTTTTTCCATTTTCCATGTTTGGTGTCTTCTTACTTCCATCCTTATTATGGCTCCGTGTTCGTCAGTCATCATTTTCATCTCCACCTGTGTCTTGTATTGGCGTTGGGACGCACTTATTAACGGGCTAACCCCCCCCCCCCCAGTCGCGGATGGAGGACCGCCTGGACCGGCTAGATGACGCCATCCACGTCCTGCAGAAGCACGCTGGCGCCTCCAGTGGCCTCCCCGGGGACATACACGGGCTCCTGGGGCAGACGCACAACGGGCCCGTGGCGGCCATGGCAGCGAACTACCCCGCATCCGCGCTGGCCGCCGGCCGCACTGCCGCCATGGTAACCACCCCTCCACAGCGTCACACTGAGCACGATGGGAACTCATACGCGCTGACAGTGTCGGGGCAAATTTACCAAAAATTAACGGATGTTTTTGGAGCAGGGGGTACAGTGGTTTGTGGCGTCTTACAATAAAAGATAAAGTGGAAGTGTAATTCTTTTATCGGTTACACTATATGATTCTGAGCTCCATAAAATTTTTCCCATGAAGCAAAGCTGTATATCAAACTGAGAAAACGCAGAAGAGACATCAGAGCATCTGTGTATCTGTGGCGTGGATCCAAAGGGGCCATTATTACAAACACTGGCCACCTACTCACACATCTTGTTTTCAGTTTTCTGCTTCTAAAGCATGTGTGTGTGTGTGTGTGTGTGTGTGTGTGTGTGTGTGTGTGTGTGTGTGTGTGTGTGTGAGGGCAGAAAATCTGGTGGCCAATAAAACAGAGCCGCAGCCATGTGCAGAAACCGAGTCTTTCCTATGGAGGACAGTTTAGCTTATACTTGCATTTTTTCCAGATGTGTCACGCCTGGCAGAGCCTTTTCCCCCCTTGAAGTTGAATATACAGAGTGAATGGGAAAAGCAGGCTGCGCGGGCTAAGGTTTCATGCGCTGTTCTGGAAAACGCTGGCGGGGTGAACTCCGTCAGGGGCTGTCGGCTGTGGCCAAGGAGAGCACAGAAACGCCGGCTGTTTACGCTCCCCCCGCCTTAACCTCCCCCCTTTTTTTTTTAAGGAGAAAGAGGATTTGTGCACAGCTGTAGTGGAAGTAACAACTTAGGAAACAATTTTTAGATTAATCCCTGGGCGGTTGAAAATAATTCAGTCCGTCTTATTTCCCGAAATGTGAAAATCAGTGGTGAGGAGTGGGCAGACTCGGCTGGGTGCGGGATTAAGATCTTTTTGGATTAAACGTGTTTTTGAAAGTAGAATTGATCCACTCTGGAGGTGGGTAGAGGAGAGGTGCCTGTCTGGAGACCCGCTTGTGTCCAGAGTGGTGTTCAGGCTAGGAAAACAAGCAGCGGGGAAGCAGAGAGGCGCCCCCCCCTTTCCACGTGAATGTCATTAACGGCCTGAAGTGGGAATGTGGTCATTTCACCTGCAGCTGGACTGGCTCAGGCGACACTGAGGGCTGTCTGTGTTCAACGCAGATGTGAGGCAGTTTTAAAATAACCACACATGGTGCAGGCAAGAGGACGAAATGCAGAAAGGCAGGACTGAGCAATCCTACACCGGCCGAAGTCTCCCCCTCAACAAAGCTCTGTCGAAACATGGCTGCCCTTAATGAATGGGAGGCATGTCTACGTTCTTTTTTTTTCTTGACCATGTTTCTAGAAATGTCCGTCCTGTCTTAACATTGAGATGCCATTAATAGTGACAAGATGAACAGTCTGTGTAGCATTGATGACTCTGCACTGTCGGCTTGCTGTAGCTCTGCTGCCTTCGGTTTAGAAGGTCGGTCCGTTCTCAAGTAGAGAAGCTGAAATGGCCGCCTGGTCTTAGAGAGCCGCAGCAGTGCCTGAGTGAACAGCCGTGGCTGCAGGCACGCGGCCTGTGTGAACCGGGGCTCCGCTCAGATAAACACCACTCTGATTCCTGCTCGCTTCCCAGCCAAAGGGTGACATCTTAAAGCCCCCCCCCCCCCAGTATCGCGGAACTGTGGTTCAGCTGTATGATAATCAAGCACGATTATAAAACGGCAGAGCTCCTTCCTGGCCATGCGGAGCGTCAAGGCCTCACAGCTTGCCTGGCCCCGCATCCCCCAAATGAACCCCCACCACCAGCCCCCCCCCAAGACAAAGACACTTGTTTGGACACCTGTTGAGAGCACAGAGATTAGCCCTGGAAGAAACTGGGGGAGGGAGTTTGGGGCACCGAGGTTAACAGAGGCCAACAGTGACTTGTAATCACATTCCTTCAGAAAAAGGAAAGCGGGGGGGTGTGGGACCCCCTCCTTACCAGCAGCGCTGGGCTCCTTTCAACCTCGCATGTGTTCCCCAAAAATGAAACCAGAGGGCCCAGGGACATGTGATAATCCCACAGAGGAGTGACACGACAGTGCAGGTTTTCTAGTGGGGGCTGGCAAGCTCCCAGCACCCCCCCCCAGTGTGGAAACTGGGAAACCATGCTCTGTTTTTAATTTAAAGGGGCTGGTTTAAAAGGGTGCCATTAAAATAAACTGTTCGTTGAGTATTCACAGTATAAGCTTTGAAGATTATAAATATGGCCGACACTCAAAAAGTCAAGAACTTCACCAGAGAGACCAGAAATTTTACTATATAAACTGTAATTAAAATACCTTTCACAGTTTCTTTCTATCATATTCAGCATATTCACATAGCAGCTATGTGACCATTTGTCTTGATAAATAAAAATTACTTTTTTAGCACATGAAAAAGAAAATCAGACATATTGGCAAGAAAAAAAAAAAGTCAAAAACTTATTTTACTTGTTGTCCAAGGCAAATGAGCCATTGTTATCTGTAGCGTGTGATTAGGCAGGCTGCAAATCGTTCCTTGGGTACACAGGGCTTGCCGCTTGGCTCTCCTGCTCCCCCTAGTGTTAATACTGGATATTAACACATCCTATCCATGCCAAGTCATCCAGCTCCCACATTTCCTCAAACCACAATGAATGTTTTCCTTTATGTGTCGCAAATTAAACTTTTGGCTTGATTTTTTTTTTCTTTTAATGATTTATCATTCAGTACATGCACTTTGGTGTTGAATAGAGTTTTCACTTGGCTGCGAAAGGTACGATGCTCTGAGCGACTTTCACAGTTTAATCACGGTCAGTTCCTGCCATCTCTGACCTCCAGCTCTCACCGGTCCCTCTGTTTGTCTTCTCCCCGGCAGGGAGGGGCTCACCGTGACGAAGCCTCCAGTCTTAACAATCACACCGGCCTGCCCAGCGCTGCCCCCGCTACCAGCACCGACGTCAACCATCAGGCAGATGGCTTCAGAGGTCAGCCCCCCGGCTCCGCCAATGCCGCCCCCCCCCCAGCATAAACAAGTGTCCATGGCACTGCTCAGAAGACTGAAAATACATTCGGCTAGTGTGTGCTGGTTCTCTCACTGCGTGAATAGTGGCACCATTCAGAGCCCTTCTGGGCTGCCTGGGAAGCATTTCCAGCGTGTCCACAATGTGCGAATGCACAGCTGGATGCGCGTTTGGCTGAGCTACCCCGTGCTCCTTGCCCTAGGTCTCGGGACAGCCCTGTCCACTCAAGGTGCTCTCAAGGTGGAGAAGCAAGACAAGGAAGATATGCAGGACCACTCGTCCGACGACCTCAAGTCCGACGACGAGAGCGATAAGAGGGACGTGAAGACCCCCAGGGGAGGGACCCGAACCAGGTAAAGGCCCCTGTCCTGCTGGGTGGAGGTGTTTAGAGCCAACATGGCTGCAGCGGCGGGCTGACGCATTTCCCGGCCTCGCTCCACAGCAGTATCAATGAGGACGAGGACCTGAACCCCGAGCAGAAGGCGGAGCGTGAGCGGGAGCGCAGGATGGCCAACAACGCGCGGGAGCGTCTGCGCGTGCGCGACATCAACGAGGCCTTCAAGGAGCTGGGCCGCATGTGCCAGCTGCACCTGAAGAGCGAGAAGCCGCAGACCAAGCTGCTGATCCTGCACCAGGCCGTGGCCGTCATCCTCAGCCTGGAGCAGCAGGTCCGAGGTCAGTGCGCCGGCCCGACCTGGAGAGCCGCGGCCCTGCGGGACGGAAGCAGGCCCAGATGCCTGCTCTGCTCACCCCATTCTGTGGCCGTTCAGGATCTAACTCCAGACTCTTTCTTCTCCCACCCACAGAGAGGAATCTAAACCCCAAAGCGGCCTGTCTTAAGAGGAGAGAAGAGGAAAAGGTGTCCGGCGTGTCTGCGGACCCCCAGCAGGCCCATCCGGGGGTGCACCCCGGCCTGGCCGACACAGCCAACCCTATGGGCCACCTTTGAGCAGCCTCTAGGTACTGGTGCTGCCCCCCATCTGTCCGTTCTACTCAGCTTAGCCTGCGAGAAACAGGAAGACTTTGCTTTATTTATTCGTGCTGTCTAGGTTACATTTCACGTGCACCACACTATTTTTGTTTAGTTTTATTTAAAGAAGAATATCTGTCATTCTCTGTGAAGGTGCATGTTTTTGTGGAATGATTATCTGTAACCCGGACACTTCATGTTTCGTTCTCTCCTGTAGATGAACTCATCTAGATCTGTATGATAAAGAATGGCTGACCTTGCTTCCTGAGGACAGACAGGACTCACGATCGTGACAAAAATTTGAGAAGACAAACCACTTGAAGCATAAATCCAGCAAAAGCAATCCTGAGATTGAGTAAAACTGGCAGCGTCCCGCTCCCTCCCCCTGCGAAGATTCCACCCCCCTCCCCCCCAAGTTGATCAGCGAATTTCTGCCCACGAGTAAAAACTTGAGCACATATCACTCTGTTTGCACGCGGCGTGTCGTATCTGAACAATCGGAGGCTGAGGAGATCCTCCGTCCTCCAGGCGTGGAAGAAGTGGACTTGTGCCTAAACTGAATTGACGAATGCATTGTAACCACATTTGTTTGTTTTTGTTTTTTTATTTATTGTGTTACTGAGGTTTAAAAAAAAACAGTCTGTGTCTACAGGGAAAGTTATGACGTCGCTTTTAGAGGCTAATGATGTTTCAGGCGATTTCCTGTCGGCCAGGGTCCTGGTCCGTCTCACAGAGTACCAGAAATCTGTCCTGTCCCATCTGACTGGGCCTGACAGCCGGACGAGGAAGTTTGTACATTTTATTATTTTTTAACCAGTTCAGGCTGAGAAATTAATTTCCCATCTGAGAACGCAGACTATTGTTTTAAAGAAAAATGCATATTAAATTCATTCCACAGATTTCAGCAAATAGCCGAAACATACTTAACTTGTCGTCTGTTTAGTTCAGTCCATGCAGAATGCTCCTGGACTGACCGTTACCGTCGACAGCTGGAGCAATACGCCAACATGGTGTCATTCGTTTATGAGTACGGCAGGGGAATGCTGCACCAAGGACGATGAGCTGTGGTTCTCTGCAAAGGTCAACTGAAAGATCAAATGCAGTCTGGAGTTTTTTATAATAATAATAATAATAATAATAATAATA